CGGAATGCATTTAAACTAATGCTAACTCATTGTTAAAATGCATTATAATGAACTTGGATAAAAATATATAACAGATGAGATGATGAGCCAATTCATATGCTTTCATTCCAATACAGTGTTGGTGTAATGGTTTCCGTCAAGAATTTCATCAGTGCAATTTCACAAATTACATATCGTTAACTATAAGGATGGTGTAGCTCATACTACAATAATGACAAATTACATTACATTACATTATACATATTATTTTACTTCATCTACTGCATTGTTAAATGATGATATTAAAGACTTTCACAAAATCAGTGTCATCATCCATTGTTGAAGAAACCATAAATTGATGAAAGCTCATGTAACATTTGTGTTTTGGAGGTCATTAGAAACACAAAAACCAAAAAACTAGCAACACTTACCTCTGGTCCTTCTCTGGCTTCATAAAAGTCACCAACTTTAATTTTTGTACTAAAGCTAAAGTTATCCCGTGAGATTACAGTTATTCCATTCCGGAGTAAGTACTGCAGACAAATGAATAAGGAATATTAATTAAAACATAAGAAGGAACTTTGAGCTATATTAATTGGTCACTCATCACAAATGTCATAATTTCTTACCTGAGGGCAATTGCATAGAGCGTCACCAACACAGTTATATGCGCTATCCTTTAAGGCTTTATTTTATGGTTAAAGTAACCCATTGTTGAATTACCTTCATTACATCAGGATACTGACGCAGCTTCTTCCCACATGGGGCAAAGTAAGCCACCTCCCCTTGTAGACGACCTGCCACAGTCCTGATCCGGGTCTCTCTCTGCCACCTGAACAAAACAACACATGGTTCATATGAAAATAATACCATAAGACTGTCGTTATAGCACATTCCAGTTATCACTAATATGTATTTTATAAGCTAATTTTCCTATTATAAACGTTTCCTCCTACAGTACATGTCAGTATTGGACCAGATACTTTCATTCACACCTGCGAGAGAGCAAAAGGACAAACGATGTAAATGATGTTAACATCTTCTGACCCTTTCAGTAATCAGGCTCCTGAATGGCCAGGAGCCAAGTGGGCCAGTTCCCAAGAGCTCCGCTGGAGAGCAGCCATGTCTTATAAAAAAATAGACATAGCATGCTATCCCACACAGAGCAGGGGCTGAAATCTAATCTTAAGGCCTCTGTTTCCTGTGAACGTGCTGTTGAGAAACACCCGTAAAAGATGAAAGGCTGCTCTGATCCAAGGCTGTAAAATTTGTGGTCAGGCAGCTGCTAATGCTGCATGTCTGTATTGAGGCTGGATGCAATTAACCCCTTGTGCCAAGCTGCTGGGCCTCATTTCACTTCCTGCCCACTATGAATTACTGCTCAAGACTGGATTTTTACAGGGCTTTAAAAGGCAGGTAAGGATGTTGGTTTTTTTTTTGTGGTCTGGTCCTACTCGGTCATGAAGATCTTACTGTGCTCAAATCAGGAATTGTTTTATTTAAACATTTACAGTATTTACCCTGGGAAAACAGTTTGAGTGTGACTGCTGCTTTCTTTCCCAGTGTCGTATTACACTGGGAAGTAGAACAATAACTTGCTTTAGGACATAATGACAGCATTTGTTGAGAGAATAGACCGTTTATTCATTTTTGTTACTGGGATGCATGTGTCAACACTGCTTTCTCTTTACTAAAACTCAATTAAGTGTCTGTGTCTCAGGCTGCTCCACAAAAGCTGACCATACTGTAGATGACCTTTAAGGAAAGGTCTCTAGTCAGCCTTCAGTGAGCTGACATTTTACTACAACACCCACTGCATGACCACAAACAATACAGCAAGTATGAAAGTAAAACCAAATGGGACATGGACAGACCATCAAATTTTGTTTTTTATATGAAGATCATTCACAACGTCTCACCCAAATTTAAGTGGCAATTGTAGAACTCTCTCATCTGTTACTCTCCTCCTCTTCCCTGATCCTAAAAACAGAAGAAATGGCTCAGCTGTACTACTGGTAATATATATACAGTGCCTTGCGAAAGTATTCGGCCCCCTTGAACTTTGCGACCTTTTGCCACATTTCAGGCTTCAAACATAAAGATATAAAACTGTAATTTTTTGTGAAGAATCAACAACAAGTGGGACACAATCATGAAGTGGAACGAAATTTATTGGATATGTCAAACTTTTTTAACAAATAAAAAACTGAAAAATTGGGCGTGCAAAATTATTCAGCCCCTTTACTTTCAGTGCAGCAAACTCTCTCCAGAAGTTCAGTGAGGATCTCTGAATGATCCAATGTTGACCTAAATGACTAATAAATACAAATAAACATATCCAGGTGTTAGAATGGCCAAGTCAAAGTCCAGACCTGAATCCAATCGAGAATCTGTGGAAAGAACTGACAACTGCTGTTCACAAACGCTCTCCATCCAACCTCACTGAGCTCGAGCTGTTTTGCAAGGAGGCATGGGCAAAAATTTCAGTCTCTCGATGTGCAAAACTGATAGAGACATACCCCAAGTGACTTACAGCTGTAATCGCAGCAAAAGGTGGCGCTACAACGTATTAACTTAAGGGGGTTGAATAATTTTGCACGCCCAATTTTTCAGTTTTTTTATTTGTTAAAAAAGTTTGAAATATCCAATAAATTTCGTTCCACTTCATGATTGTGTCCCACTTGTTGTTGATTCTTCACAAAAAATTACAGTTTTATATCTTTATGTTTGAAGCCTGAAATGTGGCAAAAGGTCGCAAAGTTCAAGGGGGCCGAATACTTTCGCAAGGCACTGTATAAAAAAAACTACAGTTATACTTCAAATTTTAAACATGTAAAGATTTATAAACGTCTCTTTATGATCAAGACTAATTCATTGCATACAGTTACCATTTTCCATAGCAGGACTAAATGCAACAAGAAATGAATACTTTCATATTGTGGCAAGTCAGAATTCAGCTCTGCAGCTCACGTAATATGCTCCATGACTCATCTGGTACAGATTTATAAAGCATCTGACTGGGTTATTAAAGCAAAAGCTGCAAGAGGTAATCAAAACAATGATGCAACAGATTTATTCCAGAGTTCATTTTAACTTGGAACTATTGAGACATCTTCTATACATCCATGTGTTTAGACTGGAATATTAAGCATCCTCTTCCACAGACAGGTTGGACAGTCGGAATAAGCAAAAGGGAGGGAGGACAAAATAATCCATGCTGACTTTTGGCACAATCTTGTTTTTATCTGAGAGAACTACACTTTCCTGATACCTGAGCCACACACTGAAGTGTCTGAATGAATTGTAGGTTATGGATGTATTCAACCTTTTAGAAAACCGACTCGTTACCCGACAGTGGCGATGAGGTTCTGTGATTTCTCAGTCCCCCTGAACTGGTCAATGTGGTGCGGGTGAGTAGGCTACTAGGTAAAATAGGAGGCTTGATGATCTGCAGGTTGAGCAGGGAGCAGTTGGCTGAGGAGGACTTGTGAGTAGACAAAGATTTAGCTCGTTTCAGAAGAGTCCTTTCTGCATCACTATTTGTTTCTGTCTCACCGTGCTCTTTTAAATAATCCTCAGAGCCGCTCTCCAGATTGCTCACCGACTCTGCAGGGGATTTCAGCATGACAGATGCAAACAGAAAGAGAGCAGAAAAACATCCTAATTAGCATTCTTTTCACAACCAGACCATACAGAGCACTGCTAATTACTCAAAGAAAGCTCATTTAACAGCTTCCATCTGCAATAACATGGCATTTCTATGTTAAATTAAAGAAAGGTCTGTTTAATCTAACCTGACAAGCTGCTACCAGAATCTTCATCCTCAATATCATCTTCATCGTCCTCATCAAAATCATCTCCTAAAGAGTCATCCGAGACCTTGCTGCTGTGGATATCAGACTCGCTGCCTCTAACCAAGTCCACAGGTGGACAAGAGGAGTTGGTTTTAGGGAGGTTCTTTCCCCCAGGCAGAGATTTGGGAGTCTTGGTCTTCATTGATCTGTGAACAAGTCCTGATGAGGCAGAAGATTTAAGTGGGGAAGCAAAGCTGCCTGATGGCTCCTTGGTGCTAGTGCTCAAGTTGATGGGCGTTGGGTATGGAGGGCTAGAAGCTGCCAGGAGTGGCTTTCTGCTGGGGTTGCTGCTCTGGCTGTGGGCTTTCATGGTAAGAGCCAAAGGGGTATCCTGAACTGCGCTGTGGATCTCTCCATTAGGGCGATGGCGCAGGAACAGGTGGGTGTCATTGCTGTGTGGGAGAAACAGCAAATGAATGCTCAATTTATTTGATGAATATTTAGATGGTGCCAGCAATGATGAAGATGATGCTGAATTTTTGTGACTTTTATACCAGATAGGTCGCAGAGAGAAAGCTTGCTCGAAAGAGTCTGAATGGAGAGCCTTTATAATTATAAATGAAAAAGGGGAAACAAAGAGAAAAGGAAGTAATTACACAAACTGTCACTCACATTACATTACTGTAGGCTGTGAACGAAGGAATTTAAGGTGCAATATGAGACAGACAATGAAGAGCAAGCTCAAGCCTGTCAACAACAATGAATAAAAAAAAAGTCTGCTGTAGAAAATATTTTCAAATTATTTGGCTTAGTGCCATTGTGCGACTTTAGCTGTCATCTTGTTATCTGTTGCTATTGTCATACTCTGGCAACCAAAAGCCTGTACTTAATGTACCACCATCATATAAATTAAAACCCTCTTGTTACAGATTGCTGCATTTTCCCTCCTTCTCAGACCAGCGACAATAACGGAGGCCTGTAAAAGAGGCTGATTTGTCTCTTGATAAACATACTAAAGCATAACGGAGCAAATTGCCTGTCAATTTTGAGAAGAATTCCCAATAGAAGTAGATGCACAGGCACTTCTAGTCATGTAGTGGTCAGACTTTAGTGCTGTATAATAAAGGTTCTGAAATTCACATAAGCATGGGGTTTTTTTTCCCATGATATAAACAGTGATGGACATAAATAAAAAGAGCTCATTCTATTAAGAGGATAAATGTGAAAAATACATTTTAACTCACCTGTTTCAAATTTAAACTGCTTATGTGTAATGAGCGTTCAAGTGAGAGGTTTCCACTGCTCTCCTTTATGCTGTCAACTGGCTGTGTGCGCTTGGGAGAAGGCATCAAAAAAGTGGGTATATGTGAGGCTAACAGTGTTGGTGGTTTGGATGAAGGAGAGAGGGAAACAGATTTGGGTGAGGGTTTATGTGAGCAACTTAGAGACATGGGTTTCATGCGGGAACAAAGAGCAAGAGGTCTGGTGTGGTGTGGGGAGGATGAATGAGAGGAGTGCTTTGGTGAAGTGGAAGAAGGAAAAGGTTTAGGTGAGTTAGAGAAGGAGTTAGGGTTGGGTGAGGTCCTGAAGAGCCAAGGAGAGGCCTTCCTATGGGAACGTGCTAAGGCACTGTTGCTGGCTGCCAGCCCTGTGGCCTGGATAACACTGATGTGCTGCTGGCCCTCCTCCTCTGCAGCCCTGGAACTGTGGAGAAACAGCGCTGTGGACTGAGGCTGGCCAACAGGATAAGAGGACTGGAAGAACGGGGAGGTTAAAGGAACAGTGTGACGATGACTATGCGCAGAATTGGAAGGTCTCTTCTTTTTACTCTCAGAAGTGTTCTGTGTCAGCCGCTGAGTAGGAGGATGAAGAAAACAGGGAGAAGACAGCATGCCATGTCAGCGCATACGGAGAGAGCAGTGGCAGCTCTGTCATCTAGCACATACAACCAGTTTGCCACCCACCACTAAGGCTGCTTTTGACAATTTATAACATTTACTTAATAGAGAGCAGTTTTACACAGCAACACTTGCAGTTTTAATTTGTCAGACACAAAAAACATTTGAAGTTTATTTAAATTTCATAACCTAACAATTCAACACAACTTTGTATTACCTTGACTATCTGTTGAATGCAAAACTCTTTTTCAGAATCAGAGGCCTCACTATCATCGCTCTGATCATCCTCGTTCTTCTCTTCTTCCTCAGTGTTATCAGGGTCACTGGTGCTCTCTTCACCATCACTGGTGCTATCTGACAAGGATCCTGACTGGCTGCTGCTCATGCTAGCAGTCTCCAATGGTCTTTTGCTGGTCTTCTGAAAAAAGAATCCACATTTCTTAATAAGATTAAAGATTCCAGTGAAGGGAGCTTTCATGCATGCACTGTAAATAAGTAAAGCACAAACCAAATATTAACCTTTTCTTTTTTCTGATTAGCCTTCTGTTGTAGTAGTTGACCCGGGTCTTGACTGCTCTTATGTCCTTGACCACCAACGGCTTTCCTCTTTTCCCTGTTGCCCTTTGCTGAAAATGAGCTGGTGTTCACAGGAGAGCTCCCAGTAGGAGAGGAACTACCTCTACCATTCACTGTTCCATTCATGCCTACAGAAACTGGCATTGCACATTTCTTCAGATCACACTCATGAGAACAAGTAATGAGTCAAACACATTAGAGCAACCAAAGAAAAGAGTAACAGGAGACACCAATAGTGCTCACGTACTTAAAAGGCCTTACTGTAACTGGTGTTTGTTAGCCATTTATCATTAATTTACACATCTCTCTTTTAGCCTCACAGGGCACAAATACATGTTTATGAAATAATTCATAGAGCCTATTTGCTTTCAGCTACTACAAGCACAACATATATGACCTTTAGCAGGAGTTAGCCCTTTTTTTTTTACCCGAGATATGTGACTGCAGTCGAACAGGATCATGGCTCTTGATGGTTGATGTAAATACAGGATGCAGACCCATTACAGGAGGAAAGAAGGCTGCTGTTCCTTTGGTATGTGCCTCCGATGCCCGCCACCAGTCTGGGGGAGCGAGAGACTAAACAATTAGGCAAAAACTGCCACACTGAATAGACAGAGAATTCTAACAGAAAGCTGTAAATGCAGCAGTTAATCTAACTCGACAACAGCACTTATCATTCAGTTTAAAATATCTTGCATTTGAACTGAAATGCTGCAATGCTTCACCTCATCTGCTGGATATTTTCCAGTTGCAATAGAGCTGCAACAGCTGTTTAGGTCATTATGTTATTCAAAAGTATCACCAAAATTTACACCATTATGTTAAAAACATTTGAGATAAAATTGAAAGTGGATTACTAAAATATGTGCTCTCATGCTGTGAAGGTCCATATTTGATCTTCCCATAAAAATAAAAAGATGACAACCCAAGGTAATGGATGCTGTTATGCAGTATGAATCTGCTTTGCATAGCAAGTTGCATTATATGAACAAGAAAAATAAATAATGCAGTATATTTCTACTCTTACATCTGCAAAGTATTTCACTAAAATATCCAGAACCCCCGCCCCCAAAAAGCACGAAACACACTTTTCTCCTTCTTGGTCCAATCTGAAGATTTAGATACGAGTTTCCTTACCAAACTGGGAGCGAGCAGCCAAGGCAGACAAACTCAGACTACCAAGGCCTCCAAACTCAGAGCGACCTGAAGTCGATGTGTAGAGCCCAAAAGCTGGATGGCTGACTGAGGGAAAAGCGTGGGAGCTGCCAGACGTATTTAAATGTTCATCCCTCATCATCTGAAGTAACTGACCTGGAGAACAAAGACTTTTATCTTATAATCCATCATTCTTGCTACCTACAGTAGATAGGTTGTCAATCCAGATACTCCATTAAGATGTTTGTATGGTAAAACACTTGAGAACAAAGCTGGATTTCCACTGTTTGATGTATACAGTAATGATTCCCAAAAAATAAAATAAAATGAATAAATGACAAACAAAACAGATTTGGAAAAAAAAGGTGCCTGCTGGAAATACTGAAAGAAATGTGTTGCAGGTAACAGATAAACCCCAGTTCCCCCTACTGCATCCACATTTCCCTCAGTTGTGTCTTTTCTCAGTCCTGCCCACGTAAGATGCAAGGACAAGACGCAAGGACAAACTGTGAGGAGAGAGGTATGAGGAAACACATTTTAACTGACAAGTCCTTTCCTCTGATCCTTGATGTGAATCATCCAATCACAAACTGATTTCTGATAAAAGGTCCTTCATCATCAAATCAAATCAAAGTTATTTAATCATCACTTTAAAAACAACATCCAGTTGACCAAAGTACTTTACATGGCAGAATAAAATCACAATAAATGACTAAAATAGAGTAAATAAGATCAGGGCAAATAAAAACAAAACAGCACAATAACACAGACACACAGTTAACATATGTTCAATAAATTAAAAATTAAAAGGAAATTAAAAGGAATGCATCAGGCCCTACTGCGTATTACAAGCCAAGCCAAATAAATGATGGATTGGAACAGCTTCCGCGTCAAACGAGGATCAAGAAACAATAAAGTGGGATTCACTTATTGCTATCAGGATTATTTCCATCAGAGAAACCAGTCCAGCCCTAGGATCTATGTCCTGAAGAACCTAGAGCTGTGCAGGAATGAACCTGATAAAGCCTGGGTAATTTGTTCTCTGTAAATGCAAAGCTATTCAGGCCAACACTGTATCTGATTCTAGATGCATTGTAATGACAGAACATTATTAACTGTCCATCTGGTAAGGTGACATTGGCTACAATTCACAGATGGATTTAATGAAACATTACTCACACTATCTAACCAATGAGCTCTATATTTATTAGCCTGTAACAGTTTCAAACTATCAAACCCTAACCTCTAGTAATAATCCTTTGTAACCTCAGTGAAAATAAACTGATATTTTTATTTTTAATAAATTTGCAAAGATTTCAAACAAACTTTTTTCACATTGTCATTATGGAGTATTGTTTGTAGAATTTTGAGGACAACAATGAATTTAATCCATTTTGGAATAAGGCTGTAACCTAACAAAATGTGGAAAAAGGTTAAGCACTGTGAATACTTCCTGGATGCACTGTAACTCTGTTTAAAGGCCCTGCCAAGATTTTAGCCTTGTCTTTATATAAATGTATACAACATATTCCTGCTATACCAGAACTGTGAAATCCTTCACCAACTTCTTTAAACTATGACCTTTACCATACCAGATGCAGTGTTAAATACAACAGGAGGTGCTGCATAAAATATTTCTTAAATAAACTTACTCACTGAAAGCAATTACAAAACTTTTAAAGGGAGCAATTTACTTGATACTCATGAAAGCGATGTAACTACAGCTGTGCCACGAGCTTTCCTCTTTTACTCTTCAGTCCAAAATCATTTATCTGGATAATTTCTGTGCATGTTTGTTGCTGGGGTCTGTAAATGAATAATTCATGAGAAAGTCTCTAATGTGTTATTCACAGTGATAGCATGACAAAAAAAATTACTTTTTGGGGCACATTATCATGAACGGAAAAATAAGCATAAACTGTCGTATGTAAATTTGCACATTAATTTGTGGTCAGCTCTGACAGCTTATGCATCACTGCTGCTCAGTGCATAATGTCTTTGACCACAATTAGTATTCAGAGACAACAAGAGTATGTTGGTGGCTGCATGCACAGTGTGAGGCTGACAGACATGTCAAATCACACAGAATAAACTGGAGCTAAAGGTTGTCAAAAGACATCCACGAGGGCGTACACAGCTTTTTAATTGTTGGCATTCATTAATTCAACAGCCTTTCCATTCCTATCAAAACTGTCTGACATGTTAAGACTGGAGAAAGGTGTCTTAAGTCCCTTATTGTTGCACAGTTTTAATCCAGTGTTTACCACAGTATGCAGCCGGATCGCCCCTCTGAAAAGATTTGCTTATTTTTCTCTCTCTCTCTCAAACAAACTGGGCAGGAGGTGGGGTACGCCCTGGACAGGCTGCCAGTCTATCACAGGGGCAGGGTGCATTCACTTACATTTATTAATAGCCTTTGAATTTAAGGCTTCTGTGGGTGACTATTACAACACTGCACACTCACACCTTATGTGGGCAGCTTAATCAGACATGGTGACTACATACCACATGACATCAAAACAACTATCTAAGTCATATTTGAGCCTTCACTTGCACATCTGAGAAGATTTCTGTGTGCGTACATACCACAGGTGGTGAGAGGGGAGCTGCCTGCTGGGTCAGGGGCTGTGCTGCACTTGATGGAGGGTGTCTGGGGTGGAACAGGGGAAGAGCGAGCAGAAGGGGAGGCCACGTGAAGGGACGATGGGGCTGAAGATGGTGAGGTCAGCTGCTCTCCAGAATCCATACCTGTCAAACACAGTCCAGTCAATGCTTAGAGACATGCAGACAAAAGGGGGAGGGGACAAAAACCACTTGCCACAAAACCCACTGAGACACAGTTTCTCTGACACACACCCGTCTACTATGGGGAGAATAATAAATAAATAAAAAAGTCTACATGCGCATTGCTCAGAATATCTAAGAAGACCTTCATGAGAGCAGCATGTTGTAATGCAGTGTTATTGATCTTGGGAAGTCTTGTACTGAGATGATAGTTACTTCTGAAATGATGAGCTGACTATTTAAAAAGACAACTGTCATCCATTCTGATAATAAATTAACCGTTTGATGAATAAGTTTAAATCATTAAATCAAATTTATAACTAGAATTACCACTTCACAGTTGGCCACAAAAATCCAAGAGTCTAAATCAGTTCATCCTTGAGCTCAAGTGGATATTTGTGCCAAATCTGAATAAATTCCCTAAAGACATTCACGAGAATGGGCCAGACAGATGTATCAACAACCCAAAAATATTATGCCTCCGGCCATGGCTACCCCTGGTCCAGAGGCATAAAAAAGCAAAACACTCATGGGTGGAATTTAATGTGTCTGTAAAATTTAAAACCTTTGGGTTTTGGAATATTGTTCACACTAAAAGATTAATTACTTGTTTGTATTTATAACAACTGTCCAATTTAATAACTCCAAGCACCCTATAACAACAACAACAAAAAAAAGAGTTATTGTAAGATTTATTTTACAGATATTTATGAATTCTGACTGATGCAAAGCATAGAAGTGGAACACTGCTCCACTTCAATGTGTCATTTTGAGTTTGCATAAATTTGCATTATTTTCATATACACCATCAGAAAAATATACAGAAAGACAATCACAAGCATCTTCAGCCTCTTAGGAGCACTCGCATTAAATCCATGCAGGGGAATAAACACAATGTGTAATCATAGCCTCCATCATTTTCTCTGATGACTCTCAAGACCACTAGTGTTCTGCCCGTCATCAAAATCATGGCACAGTGCCACAGTTACTAGTCTTTCATCAGCATATTTCCGGGATTTTCCATTATTAATGCCTCTTTACATCCCACTGATCACAAAAGCCCACATCTGAAGTCCTCTTTAACTCACGCATCTAGATTGTGTTTCACAGCCAGGCTTTGTTATGGCATTGTGCATTACCACCAATTTCTAGATCTCCTTGGTGATTCTCCTCTGCACAAGAAAACAGGAGCAGCTGATTAATGAGGTGACAAAGCTACCCTCTGAATATCAAATATTATCCACTAGGAACATCACTGATGAGACGTAAATGACATGGAAGCTGCAGCCATGCGTCACAGGCCAGGTTTTCTGTGGTAGTGTGTGTTTATGCAGAGAAAAAGACAAAAGGTGCTTTCATGTTTGTAATGCATCATTAAAAAAAAGAAAAACATTCATCTTCATTTGTCAAGCTAAGCTGCCCACTATGTTGACAGAAAAAACCCAACTGTGTGTTATTAATGTGTGCTACAAATTCTATTCAATATTCCACTGGGTGGCAACGATTAACGGTACAATCTATCACTAATAAATTCTGCACACTTGACATTTTATTACTACTTTATAGTGATATGCTGAAGACCTCTTCCTGGCCAAGTTAGAAAATGGCAATATAATTATACATCAGTATGAGTCCTGTGAAATGAGGTTTAGCAGTGCCCCCTTTATAAAGGGGGCGACTGTAATTCAGTGGGTAGAGCAGTCGTCTCCCAACCAGAGGGTGGGAGGTTCGGATCTCAGTGCCCGCAGTCCACATGGAAAGACACACTCACACAAACAGGCCTGTTTAGTGTCTCCAATACCTTTGACAAGTATGTCTTTGTAATGAAAAGGGAAACTAAAACACAATCGAGAGACACGTCCATGTCCGGGGAGACCAATCATACTCCAAAGACAATCAAGCCCAGGATCAACACAGAACTCCCTGCTGTTAAGAGGCAACACTGACATGTTGCCTTGGATACAAAAGCATCTCCAAAAACAATCAGTAAAGATGAACTTATCAAAACCCGGATTGAAATGATGTGTACTTTTTTTTTTTTTTTTAAATCCTTTTACCAGTTTCATTCTTCTACCGTCTATTTGGACATTTAAGAAAAGACCACCACTCTGTTTTTGTTTTATTGCTTCCTGAACTATTTCATCAAATTTCAAATATCCTGAAAGTTTTCAATTATTTAGCTTAAATATATTATTTTTGAATGAATAGTTATTTTGGAACATGTGCTTAATCGCTTGCTAAGTGTTAGATGAAGATCAATACCACTCTCGTAAATGTAGCGCAATATGAAGCTAGAGCCGGTTGTCACAACTGGAATTATTTTCCATTGCTGACAAATCTGCAGTTTGTTTTGTCAAATAATCAATTCATTGTTTGATTATTTATACGATTAACTGAGTAACTGCACGACCTTGTAGCACATGCCAAGAAAATGTCTAGCACACGGCACCTCCTAAAACAATAACGTGTCATTTTTATACTTAGAAGAAACATTTGTAATAATAACATGTTAATTACTGAACTTTAGAGGTGCAGGTAAGCCAATGTCGTTACTACAAATGCTGTCTTTTCAGATAATGGAAGTGCACACAAGAGGCAGAAAGAGGTAGTATATCAAAGTGCCTTAACACTGTCGAGAGCTGCACCACTCAAAGCTCCTCTAATGTATCTGTTTTCCACCGATTCATAAAAAATAGTGAAATGAAAATAAAGAGCATATGAATAAAAAAAACTAACTTCTGACTTTAATTATTTCCAATGGTGTTTTAATCATGTTAAACCCACCTACTCACACATTAACATCTCCTTAATTGATTCTATGCATGGCTGCTTTGACACCAGCTGCAGTCTATCAGACCTCACAAATGACTGGTGGTGTCCATCATCCCACTTAACACAATTAATTCCTTCAGCTACCATGGAAAAATAGCAGCACCATTCACATCTGTCCTTGCAAATTTTATGGATGGGATGTAAAAGGTGGAAAAACAAACTTGGGGTTGACGGCAGTAAAGCAAATTTTTAAAAAGCCTTTGTCATTCTCTCTTCGAGGTTGCCCAGCAGGTTTGTTGCCAAAAAAAAGTCAAGTTTATTTATAACAATTAAAATCAACACAAAGAGAAAACCGAGTAATCCTAAGAAGGTTAAAAAGGCCAAAAATAAATAGATAAATCTAAATCCACATGTATAAAACTGTGCTTAAATATTTTTAACCACAAACATACAGCAAGTGGGAAACAACAAAAATATTCTATCACTATACAACAGCTTGCGTGATCTCGTTTAGATGGCTGCAGTGTTTCAGTTCATATATAGCAGTAAGTCATCACAATTAGGTGATAATTTAACTAACTAAAAACTCTCTATGAAGCTGCACAACATAATTTAGCCTTTTCTGGTTTCTCTACACATGGGAGCACAACATCCTTTCAGTTGATGGTGACCAAGGACACTAAGCACGCTGTCATGAGAATGAGAAAGAAGCTGTGCAGTGATTAAATAGGAAAACCTCTCATTGCTTTGCTACACAATCAACCCACTGCATTAGGGGCTGGTTTACCATTCATCTCAGGTTTGCTCTCGTTAGTGAGGCCCATTTTTTTTATGACCATGCAAAAGAACCCATGTGCTTTCCAGAGGTTGTGCTCAAGAGTGCAGTCAAGGACTCGTACCGGATAGGCTGTAAAACAAGGAGCCTACAGAGTAACTGATCAACAAAACTGACTTATTGTTGAGAGGCAGATGGCAGAGCAGTGTTGGTTACACTAGAGCGCCTCTGGGATGTTCTGTGAAAACAGATACAGCAGCAGTCCCAGTGCCACACCAAATGGGATCCATAGCATCAGAGTAATCACACCTTTGACCTCCTATACTAAAACACACATACACTTAGGATAATACTTAATTCTGGATATCTACCAGAGAAATGACTACCATTCAGTGGAATGGGTTAACAAATCACTGATCACCATTACACAGCGCATACTAATGCTCCCACATCATGAATAACAGCTTGTAATTTTCAAAAAAAGACCTCATGCTTTTAGTCTTCCTCACAAATAAAGGAAGTGACCACCCCTGGTCAAATAAGCTCACATTATATACAGCACAGGCCACAAGGTAAAGTTTGTCTAATCAAATCACAACCATAACAGTTTCACAGACAACACCTGCAAATATGCAAATGTTCTTTATCTTGGAAACTGAAATCAATAGTAAATGTTGAAACTTAGCAAAGTGTTATAAAAACGATCCAAGAACCTCTTTAGCTCTATTACTGGAAAAATGTTTTCTAAAAAACTACTGCACAGAAAAATACAACCTCTCCTAGGAACAACTGCAATCATCTTACTGCTCACGTAACCATGTGCACACTAGCTCAAAGCTTTAACTCATTAAGTTACGAAGTCAACCTGTCAAAATAGAAGACATTTTTACAACTAGCTTGATTACCAGTTATTACAGAAACTGCAAAAGTACTAAGGTCAGTCCAGCCAGTCAGCAATAAAAAAAAAAAAAAAAAACACACACCCGTGCCCATAATACCATGATAATAATCCACTGCCCTTGAGAAGTACCTGCAAAATATCAAGTGTAGGCATTCTGTTATCATCATTCTTCATAATGCATCCATCTTCTAGGGAGACCTTCATGCCCCCAAAAAAAAAAATCTGCTTGCGTAGACAGTTTTAAACAGAATGCTGCCATGAATACAGAGGAAAGACTGGTAGTGAAGGGGGCAAATGGGTTCTGATGAATGAGGCCTCAGTTTGACAAATGTTTCAAGAAATACATTTGTCCCTCAAGGTAACGTTAGCTCGTGGATAATTTTCATGATTTCCCAAGTGATCTGGGGGTGGGATGTGACACATGGGAGCCCCACATGTCCTGCACAGACACTCATCATCAACATGTTCCTCGTGCTCCTGTCTGCTGCTGCCCAATCAATAGTAAGCACTGGCCAT